TGAGTCTCCTGAATAAGATTCCTGCCCAATGCTGGTTTTACTTCATAAGCTAGGGGTGTTTTGGGAAGGAAGAAATGCTCATTAATCATCAAGAGCTGCAATAAGAAAGATCACAGTGGCTGGTTCCATGTTCAGTTGCTCGTTAGCCTCTTTCTTAGACAACGGGTGCCGGTTCAGCGGCGTCTGCTGCAGTTGGGGTTCGGCCTCACCAAACAGGGATCAAATGGAACTGGTATCAACAGGCTGGTTTGAAACCAGTCACCTCTGAGGAAGGTTTCTCTTTATTGACTCATCCCTGAGGCCACACAGTAGGTGTCACATCTGTGCAATCTAGCAGTAGCTTTAGATAATGTTCAGCAGGTGCTGCTTTTTTTTTTGTGTCTTTCAACCAAAAATTAACAATATCTTATTCCTCTGACTTTAGCATTTTTTTCCTGCCCTTAAACCCTTTCTTCCGATATCACTCCAGTGCTTTTTTAGCGTTAAGGATGAAATTAAATTTGTGGTATTGTATTCTGTGTTGCATTCCTTTTCCTTTTTTTTTTCTTTTTTTTTTTTTTTTTTTTATTCTTTGAGAGAGAGAGAGGAACAGAAACAGAGAGAGAATGTGTCTGGGTTTGGGAATGCTGCCAAGGGGAGAGATGTTATCTCCTGTCTCGCGCTAACCCATGGAACATGCAGGGTTGTGCAGCAGTACCTGAGTTGATGTAGACAGTAGAAAGCAGCTGCGGAGGAGAGAATTGATGACTCCCTTCAGAGGTGTCTCTGTTGGAGGCTGCGTGGAAAAAATTTTGCTGTGAGAGCTGAAAGATGCAGACACAGGTGAGCAGATGTGACCATAGACATGGTGATGTGACCATATGCATGTCAACAGACCTGTCAGTCCATCCAGCAAAATACTGGTGTAGCTGAAGTGAGACACGCAGGGTGTGTTGATGTGGATGATATCAAAGCAGTCCCCTTGGCCTTCATTGTTGTCTTACGGATTACACACACCTCTGGAGGTCTCTCTTCCTCTTTACAAGTCTCCATAATTGGGAAGCTTCCAACGTGGGTGTATTTGTTAGCAAGTGGTCACAATGAGCGTTCATCCTCCTCACAGTTTATTTCTGAGTCGTGCTTGCATCGAAGCTGTGGAAATTAATGGCATGTGCCATCCAAGTTTATCTGCTCTCAGAGCTCGTTTTCACAATATACAATGCTCATGGGAAGTGTTTCCTGCTCGTCTCTTTCCTCCTACTTCTGGTACTGGTGTCTTCAGTTTGTCTCTGTACACAGTCTTGTTAATATTAGAACAGGAGATTTTCTTTTCCCTTGTAGCTTCTGTGCCAATCTTTCTGTTTTTTCCTACCTTGTCAGTTCTCTCTCTTTTTTTGTCTAATCCTGCACATAGTGTCCCGTGTCCCTGGAACACCCCTCTTCGTGTTTGTTTCTTTGCAGTCTCGATATCCAGTGTTCCTCAGGTGAACTGAGACTATTTTGGGATGCAGTGTGACTGAAGAATGCTCAGCAGCCGGGTGGCCAAGATCTGTGTTGCAAGCAGGTGACTCCTCCGTCAGGACTGCGTCCTCTCGCTGGTAGAGGGGCTGTGGGATGGATCCTCCCTCTGGGAGCAAATGAACTGCTGGAGATGTTAGGGTGTCCCTGGGGCTTGGCTGTGTCCCTAGCTCCATGCTTCCACATTGTTTCTCCACGAAGGGACAGTACCCACGGCATTATCCTTTCTCATCCCTGAGCCACGCGTGGAAATTGGCTTACGCTCTACTTTAGGTAGGAGTAGGGAACTTGACTTCCAAGGGCTTTACGGTAAAAGGCTGTCTGTGTGTGGCTTGGTCTCTGGTTAATTTTAACTTTTTTCCTGGTCCTCGTGGCTTTCTGGTGGATTTCAGTGCTTTATTATTGAGAACTATATTGTAAAAAATACTGAGAACTGTGTCATAAAAACAAAACAGTATTTTCAGTCTAGTTACTAGAGATACGTGTGTCTTGAAGGTCCTAATGCTTAGTTCATAAGTCAGGAGTTTGCATCTGTCAGTTGAAGGTACTAATTGTTTGTTAAATGAGTAGCTACCTGGTTTAGAAACATAAGTGGGGAATTCAGTGTATGATCTGCAGAACCAGAGGTTTTCTCAGAAGACTTCAGTTCGCACCTCTTCCATCTTTTCTGTAAGGACAACATTGAAACTACATTTATGCTCATTAAGCTTTCTGTTGAGTTTTTGTCAGGTCTGGGACACTTGTTTTTGTTTTTTTTCGAGCATTGGCTACAGGCATTTATTGGTCTTTTCTAGCTTCTCTCAATTATATTGGGACTGCTACTGAGGAAGTCTAGAGGCTGTTAACGTTGACATTTAATGGGGACAGAGTTGAGAGGTCGGGGAAGGTGTGATGAGACTGAAACCCAAAGAGCAAAGAAAAAAATGAAATTGATTGCACTCCAGTGTGAAATTTTCACTGAGGAAATAAAATTTGTAGGAAGAGGCTGCTGTGGGGTTATATTAAAAACAGACACTTGAAGAACAATAGCATTGATGGTGTTTCATTTTATTTCTTCTTAAAATGAAGGATTTTACCTTTTTACCTTTCCTACATGTCTAGAGAGCTCAGTTACTCTTCTTACTTGAGCTGTGAATCTCTGGTAACAGGTTGTATTTAGAATGATGTTGATAATTCCATTAAAATACCTCGTTGCATCTGTCAGTTTGTGTGTACATTGAGTGATTTATGCTGGGAGGTGTGTGGTGTAAACAAATGGCGAGGGCTCCTCAGTGTCCTGCTGCTAGCTGGCTTCTTGTGGCCTGTCTTCTGCCACCGCTCAGCCCTGTGGCCATGGATAAGTCATTGCACTTGTTGGAGCTTCAGCTTGTTCACCCCTGGAACTGGCAATGAACCTGAATTATCACACAAGTTGACCCTGAGTTGTTCCACCTATCCAATAAATCAGCTTTGGGGACCCAGCAGCTCCTAAACTGCAGAAGTCTTCAATTACCTCGTGGAAGCAGTAGCCCCAAATTCCTTCACCTTGCATCTTTTTTCCTTCCCAAAGACTAGGATCAGGAGTATCATTTATTTTGCAGTAGTATGTTCTTAGTACAGGCTGATTGATGTATTTCATGTGAGGCGATGAACTGCTCTAACTGAAGTGTTTTCATGTTATTGACATGCATGGTTGCTGTACTACCCTTACAGGGAAAAAAAAATCCTCTTTAGTTGGTCGTTCTTGATTTGGAAGTAATAAACATGCTGGATGATAGTAAGTGGCTTGTAGCTGAAATTACACTAACTGGAGCAGGAAAGATGCAATACCTAGAGCTGTCAGAGCCACGAGCCACCTGCGTTTTTCTCTGCATCCCATTTACCACATGGAATCAGAGTTGTGAACTGACGGAGCACTGGAACAGGCTGCCCAGAGGGGTTCTGGAGGCTCAATCCTTGGAGATACTCAAAAGCTGTCTGGATGTGGGCCTGGGCACACAGCTCCAGGTGGCCTGGCTCACACAGGCGGCTTGGAGCAGGTGACCTCCAGAGGTCCCAGCCAACCTCAACCTTTCAGTGATGTTAACATTCAGGAAAAAATGTATCCAGAGTGATGTTTCCAGGGAAAAAATTCTCATGTTGATTTCTTTTCCTTCCTGACTCTCCTACCAATATGCCCTTAAATGAAAGCTGCAGTTCTGCCATCTGCTGGGGCTCGAGGACTTCTCAGGTGTGCCTCTGCAGGCCTTCAGGTTCTAGGGATTGCTGCAAAAGAAGGCTCCCGTGGCTGCTTGCTGGAGAGCCCTTTAGGCTGAGCAGCATTTTCCTGCTCCCTCAATGATCTTGAAGTGAAGGAAAACCACCAGAGCTTTAATGGAAAGTACTGCCCAGTTAGGAGAAAATTGACTGCCCCCGATGTTGCTTTTATCTGCTGGTTTATAAACTGTAATACTTTTCATTAAAAATCAGAAAAAAAAAAAAAAGCCTCAGGTCTCCATGGGGCCCAGATCATTAGCAGGATCAATCCTTTCACCACAGAGATCAGAGTCTCCAGTCTTGCATAGCCAGGCCTTTGGCTGCTGGCACACCAAGCAAACAATGCAGAAGCAGACGAGCTGTGTGTGGTTGCCTGAATTACAGAATCACAGAATCACAGAATTTCTAGGTTGGAAGAGACCTCAAGATCGAGTCCAACCTCTAACCTAACACTAACAATCCCCACTAAACCATATCCCTAAGCTCTACATCTAAACGTCTTTTGAAGACTTCCAGGGATGGTGACTCCACCACCTCCCTGGGCAGCCCGTTCCAGTGCCTAATTGCTACATCTGGATTTCTGTTATGGCAGAAAATTCTTCCCTCACTGTGGAGCCCGTGAAATGAATTCAGGCCCTTCCAGGACAGGGTCAGAACAGTCTCATCAGCTCAGGTACTAGAAATGTTAAGTCCTTTAACTTGGGGCTGGCGGTGAGGAAGATTTCCAATTGCTGCTTCAGGAAGTTGATAATAGAACATAAAACTTTCACCCCTGAAGGAGGGCTGGCAATAACTTGAAATTGTTGACACCTAGAGACGTGTGTGCCAGAGCTGGCATGGAAGAAGTCTGATGTGACTCAGTCCAGTTGCGCAGCCCGAGCCCACCAGCACCACCAACATGATTTGCAGCCCTAGTGGAGGTGCCAGGAGATCATCTGAGAGCCAAGTGTACTGAGCAGGCTGAGTTTGCTTCTTAGTCATGGATGTGGTTGAGTCACAAGCTTGCGTGTTCTCAGTAAACACTGAAACCGTTCTGTGGATAAATAGAAGAACTCAACACACAGAGGGTTGTGAGACTGTGCATCATAAGATGCCTTCTGCTATTATTAGTCTTGGAGTGGCTATGAGCATACTATTTAACCTTTCGCTACTTAACTTCTCTTCCCCCCTCAGAATGGGGTTTATGGGGTTGTTAAAATGTGATTGTAAATTGTTCTGTGATGCTACATAGTGCGAGGCATTCTCAGTTCTTTGCTTTCCCTCTCTAGGGTGGATACATGCGGTTTATACTCCAGTAGATTCTCTGGTGTTTGGTGGAAATATCCTGCATAGCTTTAATGTTCCCATGCAGCTTCGCATCTATGAAATTGAGGACAGAACAAGGGTAAGGATACTTGATTCTCTTCTTAACTTTGTGACCGTGGCCTGCCCGTTTCTCTTTCTGTCCCTGCTTTTCCTTTCTGAGAAACAAGAACTGATGGGATCTCCATGCCAGAATTGTTGAGAGGTAAACATGAAATAACGAGACTTTCAAATGTTGGTGATTTTTAGTGACGTTTACTCATCTGTTTTTCCCTACTTCCAACAGCCATGCCCATTCTGTATCTTTTGTCTGCCTGCTAACCTTTATAAACAAACTCCCTCGTGCACACAAGCATATTGACCTCTACAGGGCGGTTCCTTTGTACCAGTACACTCCTGCTAACCTCCTGGAATGGATACCAGGGTTGGAGAATAATGGGACAAGGATGGTTCTACTGTCCGCAGCTGAACTGAGAAAGCTGTGGAGGAGTTTACTATGAAACATCATCTTCTGTGCTTCTCAGGATTTTCTTCTGCAATGATTCCATAGAATGCAAAAATTTCATGGGACTAACGAGTCTGGGCAGGGGCATTAGTCTGAATGGGGATGTTCACCTGGCTGCAGCAGAGCATTACATCTGGAGGAGGTTTCTGTGCAGCCTCTTGAGGAGTGAAAATTATGCCCTTGATTAATAAGCTTGACACCTAGCTGTCATATGCTTTGCAGTTCCATAAAGCAGAAGCATCTGAAGGAAGTACCAGTCTTTTACTAGGCTATTAAATAAACCGTGTAAGGCAATCATAGCATTTTGATGTAAATACAGACCAGTGTGTGTACAAATTTAGATGGGACTTTTTGTGGCTGGCAATTTTGGAGGCACTGCACTGTGACAGTGCTGGTAGACTGCAAGCACAGGTGCCAGGTCAAGCGTTTGTGGAGATTTGGGCTGGCAAAACACACAGCGGGAAGCTGTGATGCTTCTTGACTAAAAAATCTTAAAATGTTATGTGTTGAACGTAAGCTCATTATGTTCACCTCTACAAGAGGGCACAGAGCTGGCTCCAAGTGGGCTTTTGCCCCAAATCCCTTTGCTTGCAGTGACAGTGCGTTAGTCCGAGACAAATACGTGTTGTTTCGAAAGGCATCTCTGGCTCAGTGAGTGGAAGGGTGTCCTCCCCTCAAGCCTCTCTCTGCCAGTGTTGTGTCAGGAACAGAGTGCTCCTGTGCTTTGCAGGGGTACGGGGCCTGTTAGTCTTCACACTGCAAAGCGGTGGTGGGAGAGGTTGGTTTCCTGCAGTGATTGTAATGAAGAGAAGGAATCTTAAGTAGAAGAATGAATTCCTGGTGGAAGACAGATGAAGACAGAAGCTGAAATTCGGAAGAATTAGAACAGAGGGACTGCAGCAGAGGGCAGAAGTAGAGGGAAAGGGCATAAAGGCCAGAGTAGAGCTCAGCCTGGCTTTGAATAGGTGTTCCCAAGGCAAGAATGTGAAGTATCTTAAAAATAAATAAGTAAGTAAAGAGTATAAGGACTGGACCAGGAAAAAGTTGGGATGGCAGAAGCAGGAAGGGGCTCACCAGCTTCTTTTGCAGAGTGAAAGGCGATGGGATGAGCTGTAGGAGTCCTTCAGAAAAAGGACTGGCGGCCAGAGTTGAACTGTGGCTAAGTTCAACAAAGGAGCTCAGCACAGGAAGGTTTTTAGAGTGGCTGTAAGTAAGAACCAGCAATACACACCAGATACGTATGCTGCAGCTGCTCGAAGGAGAGGCGTGCTGTTGCCATGAAGGGTGCTAGCACAGCTAACTGGAATGGAAAAGACAATTTATTTATTTCCAGTGATGTCTGGAAGGGAAATGCTCTTTCTCCTGATATAAGGAGAGCTGGCATCTTGTTCCCACAGGACCTGAGCAACCCAAAGCCATGCACGTTTTATTAGAATTGCAACTGCTCAGCAGTGCTTCTTCATGTCAGGTCCTTCTGCTTGGGAGACTGGGGGCAGCTTTGATCTCCTGAGCTTTTATACCAGGAGGCCCCGTTATTTTTTTGGTAACTTTCAGGATCTTACTGGGCAGCTACAGTGAAGTGTCTTTGAAAAGTCACTACTACCGTGATCCTGTGGGAAGGTTCTGTGGGTGTGATGTCTGCCTCTTTGAAAATGTCCTGTCACCATTTTTTGGAAAGGGGTTCTGTGACATTTGGAAATCCCAAATCAGACCGTTACTCTTGTTGGGTTTGATTTATTTTTCTTCAAAGTATCTGCAGTTCTTTATAATTTGCCCTCCAAGAAATACTTGAGTGCTTTAAAAGAGACTAATGAAAGCCAACAACCCAGAACTTCCACAACTTTACAGTAAGTTTCAGCACTTGTATGTTGCTGTGCCAGCACTGTGTCTTGCCTAACCCCAGGCCTTTGTTCACAAACTTGTGCTTGTGGGCAGCTGTATAATAACAATGCTGTGTGAACAGCCAAAAACTAGCAAGAAGTTCAAGACAGAAAATAGAAGACTTGCAACTAAAGCATACAGAAGTTTGATGAGAAAGAGGCAGAAAAATCAATACTGTTATTTAGAAATAATAACGCACAAAACAACTAAAAATATCATGCAGGAATCTTGAAGGGGCAAATGTTTTCAAAATAGAATTCCAGTGTGTACTACTTTATTTGCTTTGCCAATCAAATTTTGTAATTTCTTTGTTCAAATAATTTTATTCATACAGGGGCTAGAATAGCAGACTCAGTACAGTATGTAGTTCACACAAATTTGGCAGTGTGAACATACTGCAAATGAGTTTCTCATCAGTATTGATCTTTCCATTGTGTATAGCACAGAAGTAAATTACACGATGTGATTGACGAAGTAATTTGCCACGCTCAAATCAAAGTGTAATACAGGTGTGTTTCCCTTCTTCATTTTGCAGAGAGCAATTTTATGGAGGTTTCGCTGTGTTTAAAGCTGCTATATAATGCTTAATCATCTTTGATTGCTGATATTCAAAGTCATTTTTATGCTAGGTGTAGTTGTTATTGTCTTAGCAGCTAAGACAAGAATAAATACATGGTTGAAACGGTAATGCTGATTTACAGCCTGATAAAATTGCCTAGTTTATATACTTGTCATGCTTATTCTAGCTTAATTTCTCAAATCCCTAGGAGACTTTTTAAGAGGGTTATAGCCATTTAAAAATAGTTTTAAGGAGTAATAAAAAACATGTCTATTGTTGGAAACAGCTCCTAATGTGCAATTGAGGTAAACAAATATTCTCCAGCCTTACAGTTTGTAGAGACTCTCATTTTGCAGTCTGGCTTTCCTAGAGGCCAATTAACAGCTAGTCAAATAGGCCAAGCTGTTTAGCTCTCTGCTAGACCAGCTTGAATAACTGCAAAGCAGGCTGCCATGCAGAGATTCATCATCTTGGCACAGGGGTGTTACAGCTCCGTATTACTGAAGAGGAAGAATGTGTCAAACTCACTCCCAACTCGTCTAAATTTAACGGCGTTAAAAGACTGGAACATGGATGGGGACAGGAGCACTCAAAATACATCCGTAAGGTGGTCACTAACAGATGACGGTGTTTGCTACTGATGTGGTTTTTTGGAACTTCAGATAATATTTTAAGTTGATAGATGGATTATTTTGTAAATACTCGTATGTTGTTTTTCAAGATTCTGATTAGAGTGATTAAACACAAGTAGAGTTTGTACTTGTAACAAAATCTTAATGGGTATTGTGGAAGAGAAATGATTTCTTAAGGAAACTTTGTGCCTTACTTCCTACATTTTTGTTTTGTTTTTGAAGGGTAGGTACAGGTCTCTAAAAGCATTTCACTTTGAAAATAGATCATACTCCAGAGAGGATTTTTCTCACTGTACAGGAATAATTTTAAAAAATTATTCTGTGGATTGTAAATTATTAATCATAGAAGTTAGAGCTGGAAATGCTGGTTAGATGTAGTCTATTTCCCTGCTGGTAGGGGGTTTAGTCCTCTGGCAGAGTCCGTATCAGGTAGGACACTTTTAAATGATCACGTAACTTCCCCCCAAATAAGAGTTCATTTGACCGTGACTGTACAATGGAAAAATTCTGGACTTGTATGTAACACAGCTCATACCCATCAATTAAGAAACGTTCAAGGCTATCGTAAATAATGTTCCCTGTGCTTCTTCATAAGGCAAATTTTAAAAGATTTTAAAGCTCCGTTAGACTTACTCTAATGGCGAAGGCCATGGCAGATCTCTGCACAGTACCTCGTGTTGGATGTGGTAGCTCTTAGTTCAGAAGGCTTGCAAAGGCAGAGCCTTCCCAGGCAAACAGTGAATTACAGAGGCATGGAGGGATTTGCTGTGGGTTGGAACATTGATAGTGAGGCAATTAGGAACTCAAATTGAATATTAAAGATTGATATACATAATGGGAGCACTGCATGCATTACTGCCTTGTCTTTCACATTGAATTAACATTGGTAACAACTAAATTTGGTGAAGCTCAGAATCTGTCAACAAATGTTGAGCAATGATGTCTTTAATATTCCCAGGCATGTGGCTGAAAACCTTTTGAAGGCAAGGCTGAGGGGTGGAAGGCGGCTTCCTGTTTGTAAGTCAATTCTTTGCAAATTTTGTTTCCTGCAGTGCTCTCTTGGAAAAATTTGAGTTCCTTTATTAGCATATATTTTAGCATGGCTAATTTCCCCTGTGTTCCGTAATAGTGATACGTGACTCGAGCTCTTCTTTATGACAAATAACTAAACCAAAGGAAAGAAATTCTCGACTGCAAAAAGGCCCTGGGGTTAAATGTTCTCACATTTAGGGGGATTCTGGTTGGTTGGTTGGTTATTTTTTCCATTTTTTTTTTCTTTGGTGTCTGTTCTTTATAACAAACATCAGGGAAACATATGAAAAGTTGCAGCATTGCTGGATGCATGACCCATCGCACCACACAGTTCAGATTTGCCAGCTCCACTTGTGGAGGATTTAAGAAATCTTAACTTTGGGGAATTGCTGTGGAATATCGAAGTTCTACATTGTGATACATTTAGTGTGATGACACAGTGTGTTCTCCCTTAATTACATGTTGTTTCACTGCTGAAAGTGCCTGTGCTCCCTGTGGGAGCAGAGGCAGGTTCTTTGCCTATGTTGGGGACAGTTTTCAAGCCTTCTTGTAAGTCTCTGGCATGGCCAAGTGGATGCTGGTGTCACCAGGCAGATGTGCAGACTGGGCCTGCTCTGCAGAGCCAGATCTGAGTTTCCAGATGTTGCAGTAGTGGGTTACTTTAGACCTCACAGCTTTTTGGGTGATGTGTGGTGGGGTGGTGGTTTTTGTTTAAAATCAGTTAAGATAATGGTCCTTCTAGTGCAGTCCAGCTTTTCATTAAACGTGGGTGGACACCTCTTAGCTAGGGGAGCAGTTAAAATCCATAAAATGCCTTAAAGCGATTCTTAAATACCAGCACAATGCATGCATGCAAACCTGCAAAATGCAATTTCTGTGTCACCAAGAGAAAAAGAAGCATATAGAGCAAGTACAAGTGCATACAAGATGCGTGGCATCTGTTTCTAACAAATCACAACCAATATTTCTATGTTCTTGCATTTGGGGACCTTCCTAGGTTGTTCCTTGGTACAGTGACCTCCCATGGATAGAAAACTATTGGGGAAGATGAGGAAACCCACTTCGTTTTCTTCTGAATCTGAAATGATCTCACAAATACATACCATTACAGAATAAGATTTTTGTGTACAAACAGGTCTGAGATGAAAGAAAAAATGCACAGCTCGACGTTCTTTTGTCAAAATCCCGCTTTCAGTTTTGTTTGTAGCAAAAGTTAGCTCCCTACCAAAATGCGAGGTGTAAACCACAAAAGGGATTTTTGTTTTTAATGTGTATACTAATCATCAAGAATTTGTGTTTGTTCATTTGTTTAATCAAATTGTTGGGAAGGTGGTAATTGGAAAAAGATGTATTTCCTGCTTGAGTCATTTTAGGTAGTGCTGCCATTTTGATTTAAAAAAATGATAATAATATAATCATGTGCTAGTGCTTTGGAAATGAAATAAACCACTTCTGTTTTAACTTGGATTTTAGTGACTAACATCTGTATGTGACCACCCTATGTTTATACAGAAGGTAAAGAATGCCGTGGGGGCCATCCATCAGTTTCATGATTTCACAAGAACACAAACCCTTTCCTCTCCCGCCACCCCAAGAGGATACAAATTAGTGAACCAAGAAATGATGCTATCATGGCAGGCAGGCAGGCGGCCTCCTCGCTTTGTATGCTGAAGGCATCCGTCTCACGCGGCTCCCCCCGCCCTCCCCTCCCCCTGCTGCATACTGTGTGTGCTCGTGCTAACACGATGAGAATGATGGCTGGCCCTTGTGCTGCAAACTTCTCCTCCCTTCCCCGTGGACTGACGGTCTCAACCTTGCTTTCAGGTGCACGCCAAATTCCGTTATCCTTTCTACTATGAAATGTGCTGGTATGTTCTGGAGAGATACGTGTCCTGTGTGACCCAGCGCTGCCACCTCAGCAAAGAGTACCAGAGAGAATCAATGTTAATTGGTGAGTGAGCCCGGTGTTAATTGGTGAGTGAGCCCAGTGTTAATTGGTGAGCGAGTCCTCCAAGCGCGTGTTCAGAACTGATGCTAGCACCTTAGGCTTTGGTTGCTTTGGTTTCTGCAGAGATTTTAAATTGCATTGGAGAATTGTGGAAATTCTGATGAACTGTTTCTTTATTTTGAGGTGGGGAGGTTTTGGCTCTGAAGCATTTTCATGAAGTACCAACGTACTTTGAATGATATTTATTGAGCATTCCTTAGCAAGTGGATCGCAGAAAAAACAATTTTTGGATGCATCTCTTTCTTGGTTTCAGTACTGTTTGTGTTAAGGTGATGTGCCAAACAGTTGAGGATTTACTGCTGTGTTTGGCACAGTACCTTAGTAGCCAGAAATGTGTGCGTTGCAAATGTGCTCTGGTAGGATGGATATTTAGTCCTTTTATAGCGTGTCTCCTCCACAGAACGCGTTACAGTCACTATACCTGGCTTCTTTCTCTTCTCCTTTCTTTAATCTTGACTTCAATTCTGTCTGTTTGGTGACTGACTTCTGCTTCAAGAGAATACCAAAACCAAGAAAACACCTACACAAATCTACATGATCTATAACCTCAGTGCAGGGAGGTCGAGAAACCTTTAAAACAACAGCTGAAAATGGACCAGAGCAGAGATGGATGGACGTGCCTGCGGCGGGAAGGCATTGCTTGGCGCTGCTGTGAGCTTTACATCAGTGTGTTGCAATTCCAGTTGCTGCCTTTCTGAACTGCCCTTTTTTCCTTCCCTGGGTTGGAAGAAGGCAGCAGGCCATGTTACCTCCCTGCTTTTAAGCACAGAATAGCTGAAAGGAACACGAGCACCAGCTAAATCTTCGATGATACGTATTAAGTCTGGAGGAGAACTAAAGTATTTCTGTGCTTCCCACCCCAAGATGCCAGTTGGAGTGAACCTAGACTGTGTGGAACTGCTCTGGACAGGAGGGAAATGATTGCTGTAGTATAATCTTCAGTAGAAGGGGTTAAAGAAGGTATAAGCCCATAAGCCCCACTCTAGTCATATTTTCTGTCCAAGACTGACTTGAGGGACCTAAAAGGCCATGTAGATCAGCCAAAGAAATTTCTTGGGGTCCCTGGGAACTTGAGTAGTACACATTTTGTGTCTTTGCTCCATGAGTCCGTGATCAGAAGAGATTAGTAAAGCAGGAATTCCACGTGGAAGAAGTGTTATATAGGGTCATCCTAGAGCAAAGGACAAATTAGCCCTTTAGATCTGCTCTTCAAAAAAGCAGCAACAAAGCTGGTAACTGTGTGCCTTGGAAAATGCAGAACCAACCTTCCGTAGTGAAAACCAGTGGCATGAGAAGAGGCTCTTCCTGCCGGCAGGGTGAGGGTGCCAGATCACCGAGGTGTAATTGCAGAGCAAATGAGATGTGGGGAGTGGATGGTTCAGGATATTGAGACGGGACCTTTTCCAGCTAAATGACCAGTGTGAATTGAAGCCCAGCTCAGTAATTACTGATAATGGGTTGGTGATCCCCATGAAGTGTGTCTCAGTCCGGTTACTAGCTGAGAGAGGCTGAAATCATACAAAAGCTCACTGGGAACTGCAGTTGTCCAGCATCTAGAGGGAAAAAGATTGTTCTGCATGACCAAAGAGTGTCAACCGCAAAGGCATCAGCAAAAGCAACATTGGCAGCAGTTTCTGGGTCTTTGTGGTGGCTTTGGTTGTTGGCCTGCTGGAAGGTGAATATTAAACTGTTTACATGTTGATTCAGTGTGGTTTTATGGTCATTCCAAGCTAATACAAGAAACATGCTGCTCTCATAAGATGAATCTCTTCTGTGAACCCTCGAGGTCATGTGGCTGCCCCATGAGCTGAATCAGCTCAGTGACCTGACTGAAATGAATCCTCCCCAAAAAGGAACACATTTGTTATCGGTAGGACCAATGAGCTGATCTCACCTGCAGCCCTGCTGCGAGGCTGCTAGTGCCAGCTCGGTGCTGGAGTGCCTGCCTGGGCAGACCTTGGGCTGTTGGTGCTGTCTTGAATGAATTGGTTCCTGCAGTGTGCTCAAGTGGTATCTGCTGACAGCATGTGGCTCATCCACCTGCCGGCTGTCTCTTGACTTCAGGGTATTAGCATGCTGATAAAATCTCTGACATTGACATCCAGGGCCTTTCTCTCCAGGAGTGACAGATTCCTACTTTGTCAGGCACTCGCTTTTTATTTCTTAGCAAAATCTTAACCTTAAAATAATTATTTAGCTGGAGATTGCAGTTCAACAGCCCAGATCTCCTACTGGATCTCTCACTACGGCATTTATCAAATTCTCTGCAGGAGTAAAAAGACATCATTTACCTTGACAAAGCTGTGATGTTTTGTTTTGCTTGAGTAATACTGTTTCATAGACTTGCTTGTCTTTCTCCTACCTAGTCACAGTGTCCAGCCTCTTGACTCAAATAAATCTCCGTGAACTTCAGTCCTTGAATTACACTCGTTTGTCCTGCGGTGTCTGTATCTTGCTATCATTCACCTGCTATGGGATGGGAGATCTAAATGAAGTCGCTACTCCAAAACCCCACTGCTTTAGTTTTGAAGTTTTTCTTCAGAACTGTTAAGGTCCTTAAATTGTTAAATGCTCTTCTCTTCCTTAGAGACTTCCCTATCTGCAAGCAATGCCTTGATTTCCCATGAGAGAGTATCCCCTGACGAAGAATTTCCCGTCGTTCTCCTTAAAGAGTAATGAAACAAAGTACTTAACTTCCCTGCAGGCCCCTCAATAGATTTAATTGTCTTCTGGCCTCCTTGGTTTCAGAGAAAAAAATCTTCATGTCCTTGCATTGATTTTCAGAAATTTCTCTTGAAGAATCAGTGTTTCTACTGCTTTATTTTTCCTTTTTTTTTTTTTTTTTTTTAATTTTCTTGTACTTTGTTGTGAACGTCTACTTAATAACTTTTCTTTTGGGTTCCAGAACATAGAGTCAATAGAAATCCAGTTCTCCTCTTTGGGAAAAAAACAGACACTACTGTGGTGATAGAGAACAGCTTGGGAGAACACAGAACTGAGTTCATAATGATTTGTGCTTTAAGGATATCTTTAGACCCCTTGTGTTACATTTTCATCGCATACTATTTATTTACCCTGGCATGAAGGCTGCCAAATTCAGAGTGACTCTTTCAAGATAAGGCCTACTCAGGAAAATGTATTCCTGTGATACCTCTGCCAATGCGGTTATATGCTAATATAGCAATTTTTACTGTTCTTTGTATTTCTGTTTCCTAAATGTCTGGACTCAGAACTTCAGAAAACAAAACAGCCTCAGCATAGGTGAGGCTGAAACCTCAGAGTGTTCAACTCCTGAAATGAAAATGCCAGCCCTTCTAAAGGAGTTGGAGGAAGGCTCTGTGGCTTCTTTTCCCATTCTTCAGGCCTGGGACGAGATTTCAGGCAGTTGCCTCCTAGGTAGTGAGTGTTCTTTGTCTGATCTCTTCCACAGAAGGGCAAACACTCAGGGGAATGACAGCACGACAGAAATCACAGGCTGCTGTAAAAGCACACAATCTCTTTCTCCCCCTTTTTCTTTTCCTTGTCCCCCTCAGCTGTGACATTTGTCCTGCCAGCTGAAATCAGAAGGGGATCCTATTTGGGTTTCCACCTAGATTTGAACACGCGCTGCTTCAGGAGGGATGTGTCTTCATTATTTTTACTCTTATCATGAATGAGTCTGTACTGGATGTTTTCAGCCACAATTGACCTTCAGCGAGATACGGATCTGGAGAGTGAGCTGACAAAGAGTAATTGGGAGAAAATACTGGGCTATCAGAAATACACTTTCTCCGTAGCCTGCAGCATTTAAGATTCCTGTTGCTAAAATTTTAACGGGATGGCTCTAACTGTATATTAAGCCTGATGGATGAAGAAAATGTGCCCTCTGGCATGGCGAAGGAGCCATGTTGTCTTTTTTTTTTCCTCTCCTTCTCAGAGGATGGAATGGGTTTGCTTATTGGTAGGCAGGTACTGGACTACATTGAGTGGTATCTGTATGAGGTGCTCCACGCAGCAACACATTTCCAGTATGCGCAGTTTTGTTTTTTCCTTTTTTTTTTTTTCTGCTAATGAAAATGTAATTTCTGTCTTTAGCAGGCCAATAGGAACCACTACTCCCAAACCACAGTGCCAAGGTTTGAAACTGGGAATGGCAAGGTAGATAATGGACACTGGACTATTGTAAAGAGTTCAGAAAGATTTTGTACTCATACCTCACCCTGTCTTTTAAGTTCTGTAATACAAGTCACTTTTCAGCAACGAAAGAAACTGTGTGTAATTATCTTTCTTGTACAAGTGGGTGACTGTGGGGAAAGTTAAGTGATTTGCCCAGAACCACAGGGAAGTGAATTGCTGTAGGGAAAAAAACATTTTTTCTAGCTTTCTGTCCTGTGGTCAAGCCTGTGCTGCTGCTTCTCCTCACTGAGTTCTGTCATTGATTGGTTGTGTAATGTGGTTTTATTCCCTCAAAATGGGGAGTGTTGAAGGTCTTTTAGGGCTATCTCAGCTGAGTGGGAGCTTGGACTGGCCAACAACTCTGAATCTGGAGTCCCAAGCAGGTATTGGTTGGGGCAGTGGCTCAGGAGGAGAAACCACAGTTGTGCTTAGCAGGAGCTCCTTTCCATGGAGACTCTTCATAAACTAAAATACTACAAGTCAGCGGAGCCCTGGCAATATAGTGCTTAAAATGCCCTTTTTGACAAAGTAAATGCAGATTTCGTATATGTAGGGCATAAGTGTACAGCATCGTAATTCTGAGTCAGATACTGTTTTCATTACAATGAATAAATAAAACTCGTGGCATATTGAATTATACCAAAACACTTGGAAACACAAACTGAAACTTCCTCACTTTGAAGTTACCCATCCATTATTGATTCCCATGGAATTTTTTAATTGTTTTTAAATTAGCAACAGTAGCAGACAGTTGCTGCCCTTTGAAAGCAGTCCACTCTCACTCTGATGGTGTAACAGGGCTGTAATCCCCTGGTGCTCCAGCATGGGCCGATGCACTTCGGGTTATGAGCAAGCCCCATCCCCACGGGTAAAGTTAGGCCAGTCATCGTGTAACTGTCAGGCTGGCAAAGAACTGGCCCTTGTTTGGTGATGTTCATTCATCCTCAGGTCAGATTGGGATTATTTTTTGCATGTGATTACACTTGCTGATTCTCCATACCCAGGTGTAGCTGGGCCAGCAGTGCCTGGTTTGTGCAGGCAGCAGCAGCTGGCAGAGCTGAATTGCTGAGCCCCACGTGTGCCTGCTTCCCGTGGGAATAGCCCCCAGGATGCTGCGATGCTCCTCTCCTCTCCTCTTTTGCCTTTTGCTTCATTAGATTAGAGCAAGAGACAAAAAGTGGAGCGCTGTCTCGAAGGCTGTTTTCTTTTAGCACCCGAGAATTCCTTGCAGTAAATTATTCACACCTCCATAACGTGATCTCCTTCTCTTTCCTTAGGCTTTGGCTACGCTTGCAATTTGCCCCACTTACAGCCATCAATTCGTGTTCAGCAGAGCCACAGCATAGGAAGACAAAAGCACGGTTTTCTTTGTACAGTTTTACCCCAGTTTCAGTCAGTGGCACTGCACTAGTACCACTAGCACAGTGGTACCTGCTTTCACCTGCTTCTCTTTCATTGCTGGCTTCTTCTCCCATCTAGACTAGGCTTCTGTGCTTCAGGCAATTAATTATTAAATGCTTCACCAAGGCAGTGTGGCCTAGAGAATGGGCTCCAGCCCTGAATCTGGCAGTCTGTGCTCTGATTCCCAGTTTTGCCCTAGATTTGGTGTGTGACAATGAGCAACTCGTTCTCCCAAGCATCTGTTTCCTCAGCTGTAAAATGGGAAAATGACATAAGCTGATTACATAGCCCTTTGAGGTGGGTGAGCATGCTAGCTACTGTGCACAAAGGAGAAAGCAGTGTCAAAGAAGTTGGATAACCTCATGTTTTTAAAACGTCCTGGTTAAGGTATTTTCTAATCCTGTTTATTTTTCTAAGAGCAGCGTGGTGGGGGCGTATGAGCACAGACCAGAGGGGAGGAGCTGCTTTGGGGCGCTGCGTGCCCCCACCTCAGCACGCAAAGCAAACTGCTCTGCTGTGCACGGAGCTGGATTTGGCTGAGAGCAGCCTTGCTGGTTGCTGGTATTTTTTATGAGTGCTGTTTTTTCACAGGCATTTCAGCTTAAATATGCCTTTCAGGAACGATTTTATGGCTATTCTGGTTCTGAGGAAAAATTCAGATGTGCCTGAAGGAGCAGTCTGGACAGAAGTCCTTGGTTTTTGTGCACACTGTGCCATTGGCATGCTTGCCCTGAGGGATAAAGTGGCCAACTCCTTTCTCAGGCCCTAATGCCCAGAGGTGCACCTGGCCTTACAGAGCTTTTCTGTGAAATTGCAAAGCTAAGCAGGGAGGGTAGCTGCCCTAGGACAGATATTCTACCACTGCCTGTTACATCTTTGTTACCTAGCTAACAAGCAACGTGTGTTTTGTGAGAAGATGCAAGAGGCAAGGAGTTGCTCTGTGACAAGAATCAGTTTGCCAGTTTGGAACTGGGCTTTGGCATTTGTTTTGAGCCTCAGTATTAAACAACCGGATGCTGAGCTTTCTTTAATGTTCATTTAATCCTTCCTTACGCATGAGTCACCTAGTCCTGATCCAAAACTACTGCACAGCAAAGCATGAAAGTACTCAGGGTTTTGGCTTGCTGAAAAAAAAATAAAATAAATGAAAGAAACTTTTAATTAATGTTAACTCATTTTTCTGTACAACTTCCATTTCCCTTGCAGAGTGTTTTCGTCTACAGCTTCATCTCCTACCCATTTCAGTCAATGTTAAAACCCACATTGACTTAACTGGGTGGTTCTGGTGGTAACTGTATTTTCCACACAAGTTCTTGCTGTTGCTAGCCTGCATTCAGTGGTGTTCACTTAATAAGGGAAATTGTGTCTAATAAACAAGGGAAGAGCAGTGCTTTAGAGAGTCCTGGCTACCAGTTTCCTATGTTGCTTTTACTGCTTGACTGCATGCAGTTGGGCAACAGTGGGGATTTTTAGGGGAAACCTAGTATAAAGCTAAGATTAATAGTTCTTTGGACTTGGAAACTCGTATTTAAATTTTCCTAAAAATTTTCCTAAAAAGTACCTAGAATGTATGAGGGACTGCCTTAATTAAAACGATATCATGTGAGTGTCAGTCCTTGCATTTCCCGGTGTGTTTAGGCTTCTTGTACATGAAATAAGCAGAACTGTAATCCTCTGCCTCAGAAGAGCACTGGGTATGCGTGCAGTAACAAGTGGTAGTCCTTGTTTTACTAATTGGTGCTTGCAAAGAGAGAGCATTGGGAAGTTGATTTTTTGCTGTGCAGAGCTCGCGTAAAAGTGATGATGTGCTTCATTTTAACACGCTTTTTTTTCCCCATAATTTTCCCTCCTTTCTTTGCTAACTTTCATCTTAAAGCTGTAAGATTACTGAATCCAGTCTTTTGGGTTTGTGGGAAAACTGATTGTATGTGACTTAAGAGCTCAGCGTACTCTTAGTTGAAGGCACAGAAGGTTGAAGTTTTGAAGAAAGCTTAATTTTTCCCTTAATTTTTCCCAGTCATTTGAACTGAGCAGATGTTAACAAAAACTAAAACCAGCATTAAAAACAAGAACAACAAAATTGGCTGAATGCAGCTCATTCCTTTTGCATGCTTATCGAGCAATGTCAAAGGGCATTATCCAGTCCACTTCAAAATAGGCAGCTCCTGGCCTCAGTCATACAAGTGTTCAAGTTCTAAACTATATTGGGTAAAGCTTCAGCATTCTTTTTCTACCTTTCAGATGCAAGAAGAAAACACAGCCTAGATAGCTACTCATCAGATTCGTGGTTAGACATGGATGAAGAATCTTGTGATGCCCATATCCAAGAGGAAAAGGATGACAGCTTGGATAAGAACTCCAAATCCCTGATGGATGGCTCCTCCTCGCCCAACAGCACTCACTCAGAGGACAAGGAGGGTGCAGGGAGGAAACAGAAAGCCACAGTAATGAGGTACCTAAAAAGAACTTTGTCTAATGAATCAGACGACAGCGTAAAATCCACGACCCCCACGGATTATCCCAAAACGCCAACGGGGTCTCCAGCTACAGAAGTTTCAACCAAATGGACTCACCTCACAGAATTTGAACTGAAGGGTTTAAAAGCCCTGGTGGAAAAGCTTGAATCTCTCCCAGAGAACAAGAAGTGTGTTCCGGAAGGCATCGAGGATCCGCAGGCTCTCCTGGAGGACATGAAGGTGGGTGTGATCTCTCGCTGATCCACACAAACTGTACGCTGTGGGCAGGGCACAGGAGAGAGACAGCAGGAGGTCAGAAGGCAAAGTGCTGCAGTGTAGGGGTGGCAGCTTGTGCGGAGCGACCCCCTCGTGTCAGCCTGCTGTGCTGTGGTGAGGGAAATTATGCCTCTGACAAAAGCCATCTTTGCACTGGGGAGGCAGCTGTTCGCAGCCTGATTTAATTGATGCGCTCCTTTCTGACTGTCGCAGCTGTGCTCAGGGGCCAAAAGTTTACATCCTTTCAAGGCTTAGCGCTTGTTATGGCCCGTGTGTAAATATTATACCTCAAGAAGTCTGTTTATATTTATGGTCTTAATCTGCCCCTTTTGCTCTTGTTTCTTCTCTGGAGTATATCTAACTGACACGTACAAAATACGCGATTTTAATGCAGAAGATTATCTAATGTTTGCTGTTGCGTTTTCTTTTCTTTTTTTTTTCCCCCCACCTATTTCATTTTCTTTTCCTCCATTGCCCTCTATAGGTTGGTAATTATTCTCCGCTGGTACAATTCGGAGGCGGTGTGAGCAGTGCATGCCCAGTAGTGACACAACTTCTGCTCAGATCTGTAGTGTACTGGAAGTGGTACTCATAGGAGGAATCTGTCCCTGTGTCCATAAGACCAGCACAGCCTTGCTGCTTCCAATCCCTGATCTGCAGCATCCCTCTGAATTACTTGGTTAGCTTTTCTGCATCTTGTTTTCACGTTGTATAAAATAGGCATATTAACGCGTTTTTAAATAAAGCTGAGACCAGCATACTCCTCATTTTGCTTGTACTTGTTAAATAAGGCTAAAATTGTCCTCTAGTACAGGGTAGATTTGGTACCGTGGAAATTTGGCCTGATTTGAAACTATTGGTATTAATTCATGATCTTGTGTTTGGACTGCTAGTTTTGTGCTGCTGCTGCATCGGGTGTGATTCTTCAGCTGTGCAGGTTTTGTACATGAGCTGTGTAAGCCAAAGTCTGAGGGAAAAATGTGTTTATACGGTAAAAGGGGGAGCCTGTATTTTTTTAGTGCTGGTGCAACAGCTGCGTAGAAAAGGCTTCAAAGCCAGCTGAAGAAGGCTGGGCGTACGCAACGTGCAGTGGAAGCTTATTCCACAATCTTGGAGCCTGGAAGTGTGATACGCGGCACTCAGTTTGGTAAACCACAAGAGCTCAGAAAGTCTCTTCTTGCAAAATCAGCTGCTTTGTGTATGAGAGTGGTGTGCATGCCCACGGTCGTGGCAGTAAGATTCACAGGCTTGCTTTGTGATCAGTCACGTTTTAATCGGAAATCAAAATGAAATTTCACAACCAGGGGTTGAGTTTGGGGTGAAGGAGGAAGAATGGTAGCGTTACTTTTCTGAGCTTCAAGCACAGACCAAGTTCCACCTAAAAATAAACGACCTCTTCTTGAAATCCCAGGAAGGGGTACAACATGATAGATGGTACAGATGTTCGGAGTGTGATCATGCGTGCTCGTTTGGTGACGTACCCTGTACACTGTGACACATCCCACTAGAGCCCGGCAAGATGCCATATGGGAGTCTGCTTTCAAGCACCGCCTAGGAGCAGGGCTGCTTCAGCCCTCTCCAGAGCAGTGGCTTTACAAGCTAGAGGTGGAGAACTTTGAGTGGACGTTTAAGAAAGAGGTCCAAGTCATGTACTTTCAGTGATACCATGCTTTAGCCAGTATTAAGTGCGTATTTGCCAGTTTATTTTGTTCGTCTTGGCAGCGTTGTGATCTTGATGTTCCATCTCCTTTCACAATTGCTCAGAAAATTGCCTGCATCTCAACTTTCCTCCCTGTGCCAGCACACACTGTAACCATCAGGATGTAGCCCAACATCTGGATCTTGATGGTTCCCTGCTGGTTCAAGAGCCCATGACCACATCTAAACATCATCCATGCTGCAGAATTGTTTTCTCTGGAGTCACCTCTGTATGTTTGGCGAGCCTGGGACTGATTAGTCAGGGCAAGGCTCTCAAAAGGACGTTGACTGACAAACATTTGCTTGAGTGCTGTTGAAAGAACTGTTAAAGAACTTTCTTTTCTTACCCATCTTCATACAGAGTGGGCCCACATACATGTATATGGCAGCCCTTAATTTTCAGAGAATGAGAGTTAGTACATCTCAGTAAATAATGAACCAGCCCCCAGCCTGCTTCCTCCACAACTCCCCCTGCAGTTCCGTTGTCTGCTTGCCAGGTGCTCTGAAGGATTTGGGGCAGTTTGGGTGAATTGTGCTCAGAGCAGTGGTTGCCTGAGTTATGCTGCTTCTCAAGTTGGGACTGGAGTTCCCCACGTGGCCCTGCCCGTTGCTTGCCAGCAGGGTGTCTGAGAAAGCTGCCGACAAGGTGCGTCTCGTTGCCATCTCGTGTAGGGACCCTGTGGGGACTGCTCTCTGTCACCGTGTCAGTTGTGCTAGAAAATAAATGGTAGAGCCAGAGCATCCTATCTCCCTGTAATCCCTGTGATACCGAAGCATGAAGTTTGTTTTAGTAGGTTCGTTGGCTTTAATAAAGAAAAACAAGCACATCGGTGTGTGTTTGGGGCTTCCACCTTCAAAGGACAGAGCTTGCTGATGGAGAAGGTGCCGAGTGACTGATTTCAGCCCCTTGAGCCCCTCTCACATAACGATCCTTGCAGGGTTACTGTGCTGCTCGGTGTTTCGTTCTGTCCTTGCTGTGCAGGGTGTGCTCGGACCTGCGGCTAAACCCAGTGCTACGAATGTTCCCTGGGGTTCTCAGAGGTGCTCAGCACTGCAGTACTCATGTGTGCTTCACAAGTGCTAATTGCTGAGCTGTTGTTATCTCTGGTTCACAGGTGGGGAACTAACGTGCAAAGAGATTCAGATAGAAGTGACCATAATTTTGGGTGCTGTTTTTCCACACCTCTGATGTGACTTTCGGAGCAGCTAGCGTTATTTAAGAATGATATTTGCAAAAGATGATTTTAATGGGATTGAAACTGCAATCGCTTAACGTTTCTGCAGCACGGAAGTTCTGAGCTGTAGCATCCAGTTCCCAAACCAGGCGTGAGAAGAGAAGGTGCACATAATTCTTGACTGCCTGCGGAAACTTGATTTAAAAGGTTTGCTGTGTGTCACATAGAGACATAATGGCAGAGGAAGAAATAGAGTCCATTTTTCCAGAATGGTGTTTATCTCCTTGACCACAAAATCATATTTCCTCTTACTTTGCTACCAGTTTTCCAACCTGAACAGAAAATAACGTGGGGATTTTGCTGATAGCAATAGCAGTAGAGTAAGCAGAAGCCTGGAACCTCTACCTCAGCTCTGATGAATATCCAGAGCACCCATCATGTGTGTGATTGAATGGCGGCCGAAATCCTGTAGAAAGAGCTTTGGCTTTGCAGATCCTGTGTGCTGGGACTGTGTTCAGCTGTATTCATGAGGCTTGTGTCATGGGCAACCTGAATTTTGTGCACGTGATGTATTAATAATGCAGCCTATAAAAAGCACCCTTTTAGTGCTCCCGCTTGACAGTTATTTTTAACAAATGTGTAGCAAGAACATACTCTGACAGAAAGTCCGTAAGTCTGCTTGGAAAGTCTTAAGCAAGTTTCTTTCTGAAGAAAATTAAACCCATGTTTATTGTAGTAGCTTTATTTCTTAATGAAGTATGCTCAGGAACTTTTCTATATGACGTGCAAGTCTTTGTGCCTCAGTAAGATAATTAACATTTTCGGAAGACAGGACAAGGGTGGTTAAACTGGAGAAAGGAAACCGTTTTATTCAGTGATGCAAAGTTTTACAGAACAACTCAGGGTAACTCGTAAAGAATTCATGCTTTCCTGTCTGAAGCAGGATACAGTAAAGGATGGGCGGTTGGATTACTGCTCTTGGTGGTAAATACAACTACAGCTATATGCAGCTATTTAATGTCACGTAGGTGAGGCTCTCTGAAGTCAAGTAATTTATTTTCCTTATGGAAAAGGAGAGTGAAAACTAATCTAAGCCCGTGTAAATTCCTTACGTGTCATCTAAGCTCCTAACTAACTGTGACTATCTAGTGGGGACCCAGCAATCCAGAAGTGTCCAGCTAATGCCTCTGCAGATTGAGATCCCATTTATCAGCATGATCGATGGAGTGCAGCAAGAAAAGGGAGGCTTATTTGCGGAGCACAGCACAGGCCTTGCTTGAGGAGCAGGTCAGTTCTTCCCTCAGCTCAAACGAGGAATTAAATAATTGTCGGCTGCAGCTCTGCTGTATGGGAATTGTGTCCCATGAGTCTTGTGTTCACCACCAAAGGAGCTTCTCAGAGGCTCCAAGCAGCGATTACTGACAGCAACGTTCTCTCCCTAGCAGATGGCATCTGAACAATCGTCAGAGGAGATGCAGCATTGTCTGTATCCAAATATCTGTGGCTGGGCTCTGTGTGAGCGTGTACGTGCAGCACATGTGAGGAGAAATCATTGCCCAGGTAACACATCCTCTCCCTGAGGTGCTCGGCTGTCCCAGGTGGCAGAGGAACAGAAGGCTCAGCAGTGTAGCTGGTGGCAGGGTGAGCAGCCAGGAGATGCTCCAGCCATTGCTGCCACATCGCTGCTGCTGATGTTACCTGTTGGAGGCACACACAGCCTGCAGTTACACCTTGTTTTCCATCCATCTGTGCACCCAACCATGCCTGTTCCCTGCCTTTCAATTAAAAAAGAAAAAAAAAGAAGTAGCAACTGAACAGTTAAAGGACTTACAGTGAACAGATGATGAAGAAAAAAAAAAAAGGAATAAATATTCTTAGATGGTGACCCTTGGGACTGGAAGAGTTTCATTGTGCCACTTCTCCATTTCATGTTTAGCTGCCAAATGGTACAGCAGCCTGCTAAAGATGCAGTTGGGGTGGACTTAGGCATGAAGAAGTGAATGGAGAATCAACCATCTTACACCGTGGTGTAGTTTGTCCACCCCACATCACAAGGCAGGTAAAGCTGAGCAGTCTGCATCCCACATTAAACACTGCCAGTGATAGCTGTCTGCATGCAGGCTCTGATTTCAGCACACGGTGTTTCTGTTATGTTGCTAGCAGGATGGTAATGCCTTCGCTGCTGTTGGGAAGGAGGATTGTGAGATCTGCCTCCTAATAATGCCACAGACCTTCCCCACTTCAAAGCAAAAATGCTGCTCTGCTTTTGAAGGGACTGTTGAAGTCCATTAGGGCAGAAGAAACTCAGTTTGCAGAGCAGAGTTTGTCAAATATCCGCAACTCCTTGGCAGCAGCAGCAGATTCTTGTGCAAGACAGATGATATCTACTGAAATATGTTCTTACTTTTTCTTGCCAAGAAATCTTACCCCATTCTTATTCTGATGGCAGAAAAACACTCCCTTTACTGAATGCATTTCAGGGGAGTCATTCCTTGCTGTGCTTGTGAAATTCATGGCTAAGCTGGATTCTTACATACTTACTCAGTTTCTTTCCTTCATACCTGCCGTTGTCACCACAGCCTTCAAGTGTAGTGAATCGGGCGGTTTTGTGCTGGATGAGCATCGTGTTGTTTGTCTAACTGAAGCCCCATGGCTTTTCTTTATCTCCTTTTTTGTTTTTCTTTTTTAGCAGGTGAAGTGTGCATCCCCCAGCCCGTTGTGTGCTGACCTTTGGCACCAGTCAGTGCAGCTGTGGCTTGGTTATGGTTCTGCTGCTGAGACATCCGTTGTTTTCAGCTGGCCGATACGATAAACTGACATAGTTTTAAGTTTCTTCTTGGATAATATTTTCACGTGATGCATACGATAAGAAGAAACCCTCGGTACCCTGCCAAGTTCCAGGAATATGCTCTGCTTCCTATTGAACTTGGAGTTTCTGACAATCACGAGTGGAAATGTTAAGGTTTTCCATCTTGCAAACTTCCAAATTTAAGAGTAACAAAGTAATGAGGGATTAATTTGCCCTTTGTTTATATGGCTCTCAAGCTGCCTTCTCGCTCTGGAGAATTTGGGCTTTGCTATAAAAATACCAAGCCCTCTCTGTTTTTAGAACTGAAAACTGGCTTCCAGAATGTGCTCACAGTTATCACGCTGATTGCTGCCTCAATACAAAGGGGGTGTGGGAATGGAGGTGCTCACTTGGCCTTGCTCTGCTTGGTCAGGAGTTAGTTAACTTGCCATTAATTAACCTGTCTGTAGCAGTTTTGGGGCTGGGTGTTTGCTGCCTGCCTGTGCTCCACAGCAGGGACACAAGCCTGGAGTCGGGTGCTGGTGCTTGGGCTGCTGGGGTCTGGCACGGGGCCGTCGTGTGCCCAGCCCTTGGCAGACGATTACAGACAAATTCCAAGTGTGTTTCCTATTAAAAATGCCTGTATTTTAAGCTCTCTTTGTATAGTGTGTGAAATTTCTCATTATTAAATTAGAGAGTGCCGGCGGTGGTGGTGGTGCTGAGAGTGCCTGGTGCCTATTGCTGTCTAATTAATTTTTTTTCAAGAAGTCGGTATAATTGGGAGCAATGGTGTTGACTTTCATTGTCTGGGGTTATCTCCGAAATTCTTTACAAGGCGGTTTCCAACCTGCTGCCCTTGTTTGTGTAGTTGGAGTAATTTTTTCTTCCTTAAGCTGTTAGTACTTATTTGGGCCTCAGTTTTCAGCAGCTCAACAGGATCCCCCTTGTTTGGGGTTTGCATTTGTCGTCATCTTCAGCTGCAGAACTCCACCTGAAGAGCTCTGTAGCGAGGTTAGTAAGTGTGTAGGGTGTCGGGGAGCGTGGACGATTCCCAACTACAGCACCGAGTACACTTAAAAGGAGTCTTCCCCACCTCTGCCTTGGGTTGTGCAGCGATGGGAACAAATCTCAGCGGCAGAAGCTGTGTAGGGCAGCACAACCCACTCACGAGGTGTCTGGGCCAGTGCTTTAAGGCAGAGGATTTGGTGGGGGCAGGAAGACCGATCTTTTCCCTTCGTCCTGTGCCATCCCAAGACAGTTGGTTTCTTAGTGAATACTCAGGAAACTGAACTTCTTATCCGATTGCATGAGTGAATTAGGTTACAACAGCTTGGCCTGCCCTTTGGTGTGGAAGGGAGGCCGGTGGAGATGTTGGTTGTGGTGGTTGCTTGGGTTTCAGTGAGCTAGAGTGTAAAGGGAGAGCTAATGGTTGGCATTACCAGTGGAAAGCACTGGTGTGTCTTCTGGACACACCAATTTTGAAGAAATCTGTAATACTTGAGGCGATTCGTTGATTGGTTTTGCTGTCTGTTGTGCAAGAAACTGCACTTCTGGCATTTTAACAACGTGTGAGCTTTGTTGTGAATCGGAAGCTCTGAAGCAAAATTAGCTCACAGAGGTGTAACGAGTCAGCAGGGATCACGTCAGTCTTTTTCATCAGGGTAGGTGTTGTGTTCTGTAAGTCTCTGCGCTCGTCAGCTGGAAAAATATTTCTCTGGTTAATAAAGACCTTTTCGTTCGCAACAGAACATTCTGAAGGAACATGCTGATGATGACCAAAATCTTGCCATTTCGGGTGTCCCTGTGGTCAGCTGGCCCAAGAAGACCCCAAAGGTAATGAGACACAATTCACAATTCCTTACTAATCGTTGCCAGATCCTGGTGTTTTCTAGCTGTAATCTGACAAGTGGTTTCTGTGATACTTTGGCAGCAGCTAGCGCTTTTAACACGAAAAGTTATTTTTAATAGTTTTAAAACAGCGTGTTGAAGCAGCACACATAAAGGTGCCTCAGTAGGGAGAAATTAGTAGGGTTTCTATTTTAAAAAGGATTTTTTTGCGCCTTACTTATCTGTATAAAACTTTGATATGTCTTAGTCATTTACTAATCATAGTTAAATTTGAAAATGTTGATGCAACATTTTGTGTAAATTTAAATGCTGCGTAAATCCGACAGACTGATCACTTAGCAAATACTTTGATCTGGATGAGAGGATGTTTTTTGTGTCATACTGCACAAAATTTTTCTCATACACATCTTCCACTAACTTTGGAGGATTTTTTGTCTCTGTACCTTCATTTTTTCTTCCTATATATGGGCGTAATTCTCTCCACTTTGCAGAAGAACAGGGAGGTTTGCTTCATTAATGCTTATGAAGAGTTTGAAATAATTAACTAAAGAATAATGTCAAAAGGCTGAATGTTATTTATAACAGTGGTATGTTTACCACACTCCAGTTATTCAGCGTGCTGTAAAAGCAGCTTTGCTTATTTGGATGATGTCTCATCGCTTCTATTTTTATTGTCCTTTTTCACTGAATTAGTTTTATAATACATAATTTCTCTAGAAATCCTGAAAGGGTCAGTCAACTTTAATCAGTCTTCTAACTGAAAATCTGTTGTTATTATCATTGTAAATAACTTTCAAATCATTAACTGTGAGTGAATTATTTTCCCTGTTCTCTCTTTGCTGGTGTACTTGCTGTGGCTTGGTATATAATCACTTGTAGCCATGAGAGTTTGCTGGTTTCAGATGGGGAGTAGGAGACCATGGACTTCAGCAGCCGCTAGGGAAAAGTGGAGCAAAGGCAGCATGAGATCCTGCTTCTGCCTTATTTCTGGCTTTTAGCTGGGTGCATTTCAGATAAGGTACAGCTTGCTAAATGCCTATTTCCCTTTTACTTTGTAATAGGTCTGTAGGAGCATGCATTGTATTTAAAACATTGAGTTGTTTAAAAACAACGATTTGTTTAAAAACCTTGAGAGGAATAGATGTCAGATGCTCCACTCCTCTGCTTCAATAGCTGCTGTTCGCCAGCCAAGTATACTTTAAACATCAAATAAAAAAATATATCTCTGGGACCAGAGGAAAACTGGTGTGAGAAACTTAGAAAGCAAAACTAAGGAACAATTGACTCGTGCTCAATTTTTTGAGCTTGTGGTAGAAGTAAGCATCTTAATATTTGGAGTTTTTTTTTTCATAAGCTTTGGTGTTTGTTCATGTTCTTGTTCACTTTATTTTGGAATCCTTGATGGATGTCTCACTTCTTATATTTTATTTCTGTGCATTGGCAACATAAGTAACTGTAAAAGATTCTGAGATTCTGGGTTTTTTTTGTGATTTTAATCTCATTCCTTTTTGCAAAATCTATCTTGCTGCCTGCAAATTTGTGTATGTGTATTTGTTTTTTTTTTTTTTTAACTTTCTGGTGCTTATTTTCCATCAGCCTTTTTGGAAGCAGACATTTTTAAAGGCATCATTCCTAGTGCTAAGTTATAATAACAAACAATTCTACACATCACACAAATAAGAGGAAAACTTTATAGAAAGTCAGAGTTTAGCTTGAAATTTGCAAATAAAAACCATTTACTTACCATAGTATTCATACTTATTTTGCTTAATCAGTAATCAGCTGGTATTATGCTTAACTTGAAAGGTACACACAGGTTTGGCTGAATGTTCTGCAAAAGGAACTTGTTGGATTCCCTTCTGATGCACAAACGTGTGCATCACCTTTCGTGCCACAGCTATTTCCCTTCTTGGAAGCAGAGGCCAAGTGAGCAGGCTCAGAGGACGTGTCTTAGTGTTGCATCTTTGGGCCCCAAATTAAAATACGTTGGAAAGACAATGTAAGGGAAATTTGTATAAAAGCAATGGTGTAAGTGGTTAAGGTTCATTATTTCTCCTTTGTTCTTTGTAAATCCTGATAATGAAATAGATTTTACAGAGAAGAAACCCCTAAGGGAGGCGGAAACTCCCTTTAAAATTGGAGTGTAGCTGGTGGAGCAGGTCTCCATGGCTGGAAGATTCCACAAACGTTGAGGACAAGACAGGGGAGTAACGCCCTGCACTAATTTTGCTTCTGTAGTATGGTTCTTCTAGTATATAGGAGAAATGCCAAATATTTAAGAGTGCTTTTCTGGAGATACTGATGTGTAAAGCAAGCGGCAGATAGGATACAGCAAGGTACTGGCTTCTGTGGGGCTGGTAAGATGTAGCTGGTGCACCAGCTTCCAGATAAAGGAGGATTGTCTGCTTCAAAGTCCTTAAAGTAAGAGAAAGGAAATGGAATTCAGAAAAAGGAGGCAATAAACGAAAAACGTGTCTCTTACTTTCTCCCAAGAGAAGCCTCCAGAAGAGATTTAGAAAGACAAGAGCAGCAGATGGAGAAGGAAGAATAAAGCCGGCACTAAATGCCAAAACATTTCAAAGAAAATGGAAATGACTGTAAAGAAAGGAAGGGAAGAGGCTAGAAACAGCAAGAGAGCAGGATGAGGAGAGAAACAAGTATGGAAAAGATGGAACAAGGAAAATGTAGAGCAGAGGTAGAAAACTCTTATTAAGGTAAGAGATCCCCGAAGAAGGAAGGGACAGCAAACAACTTAACTATGTGAATAACCCACGTTGTGAAAGGGCTTGCTTAGTTAATGTTGACTTCCTTCTGAAAGAACGTGCTTCTAATAATCTGAGTGATTTTAGAAGCAGCAAATAACATTTCTATTTAGAATTGACTCACAGGTTCTTTTACACATCGTTAATGTGCGTGACAACAGTGTGTGCAGTTCTGTGCTGCAAAACCATTGTTTGAAGACTGAAATTCCGGGTTTTAGGAAAGAAATGTTCACTTGCCTTGATTCACAGCGGACAGGGCGATGGGCAGACACTCAGCTGAACGCATGGGAGTCCCATCCATGTACCGTGCTCCCCTCATGCTGCATCCATCATTCACGTCTACCCTTTCTAAAGGCATTCGAGGCTGTCTGTTTTTCTGCAGCTCTCTCAAAAACTTTGTTCACTGAGAAAAGAAACGGAAGTATCGGTGAGATGTATTGGTGAGGAGATGAAACAAGTAGGTGACATTTGAAGGTGTAATGTACAGAAGGGGAGGCAAAGGTCTGCGTTGTGTTCCCAGCTCTGCTGCGACCTTCTTGGGTTGCATGCAGCAGGCAAGTGGCACCTCTCCGCTCCCAGAGCTCGTTCCTAGTAGATGCTGCTGCTTCACATCCTGGGTTGTGAAGTGGAATTACTGTTTGTAAAGATCTGTGAAAATTTCAGCAGAAAGTTTGGTAGCAAACCATTTCATCTGCACAGGGATTAAGGCTAATGGCTTATTAGAGGAACCCATAGTATGGCCCAAGCAGAAAACGTATTTTTTCAGACCCTTTCCTATTTCTGGAAGACAACAGTCAACTACAGGAGCACGTAATTACACTCTGTGGCAGTGCTTTCAGTTTTTATTGTGATAAAGATCTTCAGTTGTCTATGAAGAGTGGCTGTAAAGAAGTAAAACGTGTTTGGACTCTGTTGCTCTGTGAAGGGTTAGAAATGCAGACTGCATCAGATTCTCATCTCTCTTACCTGGCATAAACCTAAAGGCACTGCATTTGTAATGATAGCAAGTGTCCAAATATGTATCGCTCTGGCTGTGAGCAGGAGATGAAGCTGTAATTTTCAGTGGCTGGTTAACAATACTGGAAAATGTGGCTGGTTTTCTGACCTCACTGTTCCTACGCTTCTTCTGTGTAATTGTTGCTTCTTGCTTTTAAGAGAAAAGACTTGAAAAGTATCATAGAGCAGTGATAATATCCCTACTTAAAGGAGTACTATTAATTAGTATATGCTACAAATCGAAATTTTAATTAAACTATGTTTGTTTGCTTTTTTAAACACCCTTCCCTGCAATTGCAATGCAAAATAGTGTTTGTAGCTATGTATTGGTGCGTGCGAATCAGGAAAAAAAAAAAGTGATTTTAAAAAATGGTTGAGGAAGCACTGAGCTGGACATACTCGGTCAGACCAGACGGTCTTTGTATGCGGTGTCCTGCTTCAACAGTGGGCACTCCCAGCTGTTAGAGGGGCTGTAAGAACAGGGCAGACAGCAGTCTTTCCTTTGCTTAACTTCACAGTTAAGCTAGAAGGTCGTATCATCAGCTTTGTTTTGCTGTCCCTTGGTAGGTACTTTATTTCCCATGAATTTACCTAATAATTTGTGGAACCTGTTGATCTTTCTGGTAGCGATAGATAGCATCCTGCAACAGTGACCCCATTGTTTAATAAAGTTCTGTGTAGAAAAGCAGAAAAACAAGCTGAAAAACACCAGGAACTTCAATGTCTTCTGGTGTACAAACCATACCATATGTTCGATCATCTCTATCACTATTCTAGTTCCACTACAGGTGGTTTTGAGATGAGGGCGGATATGGGACTCCAGAACCACATATAGAGTTCAAGATGTGATGTTTGAGAGAGGAGACTAGAAGAGCATGTCTTGTTCAGCATGGCACAACAAAGTTGCAGGGGGAGATGATTGCTGTGTGTAAGTACTTCAGGGAATATAAATACCAGGGGAAGAGAAGAATTATTTAAGTTAGTGGACAATGTTGGCATGAGAACAAGTGAGTATAAACACACCATAAATAAACTTAGTCTGGAAATAAGGTTTCTGATCACTACTCATAGTCTGAAGTAAATAGCGTGCGTGCATGCACACAAAAAAAGTAGACTGGTGGTGAAAAGGGTGTTAGATTCTTCAGAATAACTTGTATTTAAAATAATAAAAGGCAGTGATGGTTTGTCTGGATCTGGATCCCATAATGGTCCTTTGGCACATGTGTC